AAACACATGCTCTGACTGGGCCACAAACCAAGTCCCTTGAATGTATGTTCTTCATGGTTCTGACCAAAGCACTAAAGACCCCTGGGTGCTACAGTGGAACACCTCTGACAAAGGAACAAAACTGAATCAAACTATTCTTTTAACATATAATTTATCTTCACCTGCAAGTTTATTATGTGCATGTGCTGAAGCATCCAGGTCTGTTCTCAACTACAGATCTTCAGCAACATACCAATTCGAGTATATATTAATTTAATGGAGGGCACTGAAAAGATCTGAAAGACTATTCATTAAAAAGCAAACATTAATATTAACCAAACCAGAAAAAGAAACTCCTCAGGTTTTAATACTACCATCCAATCTGAATACTCAAAATTCACTCTGAATGCTCAAAATTTCCTAAGTATTTTAAAACTACGTGATACAATTACAAAAGCTACAATAAGATGGACATTTGAACATTTTTTTGACATTAACATTTCCCCAAAATGCAATGTTTACTCCAAGATTTACTCCAATGTAAACTGTTTCCATAAATATTAAGAACCTGTAGCACTTAAGTATTTCAACTGCATAATCTACAATAACTGGAGCAATCTAATATGAAGACAATCATAAAAGGCAATCATACAAACTTCCTCTTGTTTCTGGATAAACTACTCTGTATCCGGAAACTATAAAATGTGATAGAAAACTTTAACTTAGTAAATACTATCTGGAAAAAGGTCAAATATACTCTACACTGATAAAAAATGAACCTAAAAAAGTAGTGAAACACTATTAAAATGTTTGAGGTAGTCAAAAGTATGATATTCTGCAAGAATGAGAAACATTATGTTTAATTTATGACAAGAATAATGATCGATGTTTCATTTTCTAAAGATCGTTAAGGTATTAAATAAGAAGGCCAACTTAAAATTGACAAGGTGATGACTGATATCCTTAAAACTCTTAAAAATATACTCTCATGTACAATAAGTCCCAAACTTACAAACATCTGAGTTGTGACTCACTTGTGACAAGTGTACTACATGACGACTCACTTTATCACATACCAACAAATCTGACTTATGAGTGTTCTCCTAGAACAGAACTGATATGTAAGCCAGGGCCTTACTATATATCCTAAAATTATCATCAAGTTGAAAGTTGATAAACAAAAGTTCAACCAGATTTGATAGTTATTTTCCCTCATCCTTTGTTGCATTACAAAACACTGTTTTGGTACCAAGGGTCAAACTCTGGTCCTTGTGCTTTCGAGGCAGGAGGCAAAACCACAGAGCTAAATCCCCTGCAAAGCATTGTCACTCAGATAAAAAATGTATTTATTTTGAGACCATGCATGGTGGTGCACACCTGCAATCCTAGCTCTCGGGAGGCTGAGGCAGGATTGTCTGGAGTTCGAGGCCACCCTGGTCTACATAGTTTTGACTCTGTCTCAAAAAACCAAACAACCAAAAAACCCAAACCAAAACAAATGGCTGAGTCATGAGGATCACTGCAAGTTCAAGCCCAGCCTGGACTATATAGTGAGGCCCCCTCTCTCAAAAAAAAAAAGGTATTATACTTCATAGACCATACTTTTAGTTGTACTAGAATACATCTAACGAAGATGAGAAAGAAACATTACATATAAAAACTAACCAAGAAACTCTACTATTATTTACTTGGGCAGACTGAACACTTACCATTTGATTTCTCACTTTAAACTGAACAGTGAAAAAACATAAAGCACGTAGAGGGCCTAAATTTCAAAGCTTTAAAACAGAGAAGGATTAAAAAACTTTCCCAAAAGTATTGTCAAAGTAAAGGCAGAGTAAAGGAACCAATTGCCTTAATGTATTTCTATTAACACAACATTTTCCTGTAACACAAAATAGTAGAAATATCTAGTTTTTCTTTGTAGTTCTTTTAGTGCTGGATCAGCTTATATTAATAAGCATTACTAGACTAGAAATTAAACTGACACCAAAATGATGAAAGCCTTGTTTCTTCACATAATTTCTAATCTCCATTAAAAAACTAAACTATAATCAAAACAGACTGTATTTCCCCCTAAATATTCAACTTCATTGTTACAGGAATTATCACAGCTCATTTACATACTACTTGAGGTATGGGTACTCTTCAGAAAATTAAGAGCACCATAAATTTCAGGCCTAGCTAACATAAATGTTAACACACACACAGAGAAAAAAAAAAAAATCAAAATTATTCTATCCCAGAGTTCCAAAGGCTTTTTCTCTAATGGGCTACATAGCAAAGTTATTTTGTGTCAAAAATTTTCACTTTTTGGGGGGTCAGAGACACACACATGGAAATCCTGGGCTCAAGCCTATCTCAGCTTCCTGATTCACTGGGATAGTGGGCCCAGGTTCGCTGTCCTACACTAGTAACAATCTCTTTATCAATAACTTCCTGGAAAAAAATAGTAATATCCTTATCTCTGTAGTGGGGTTCTATGAAAATGGGGCATGATACAAGGCTATAGATTGCTAACCAGCTCTAACCAAATTAATTTCATTTATGACGCTTCAAGTACGAAAAACGCATTTCTGCAACTTCTTAAAACGAAGGTATCTTAATATTTAAATATATTATATATTTATTTACTAAGAGCATAATCTTGAATAATAGACTATTTTAGAAATGCCCAGAAACCATGAGTATTATTAAATATCTAATTCATCTATTCTCAACATTTAGATATCTATAAAATATTGCCATCAAAATTAATTTTAAATACAAAATGTTTTTAAATTAAGAATTTGCATATATAATAGATACTGGGGAAATGGGAAGAAAATTTCCTAATGGGAAGGGGAACTAGAGAGGAATGAGGGAGAAAGGAAGGAAGGAACAAGAAACAAAGTGAAAATAGAAGAAAAAAAGAACCAAAGCTTTTGTGTATCAGGAGGGGAAGGGGGAATGGGAAAAAAGAGGTGGATGTATCATGTATGGGTGCAAATTCACTATGATGAGTGTTATCATTATGTATGCCTAAAATTAGCAATAAGTGTTTTGCTATTAAGTAAATGTAATATGCAGTAATTCTATTTTAAAATGTAGCAATGTTTCCAGACACTTTAAAAATAAAACTGTCTGTTATTAACTGTATTTATATTAAGTGACAGTAAACCTAAAACTGGTATAGGGTTTCTTTCTTTTTTCTTTTCTTTTTTTTTTTTTTTTTTTTTTTTTGGTATAGGGTTTCTTAATTGTAAAGTATTTCAAAGATTAGAGTGTGCAACTGTATTTGTAATAATAGTCAATGTCATCAAGTTTAGAAGGACACATCTTACTTATCGCCATCTAGACCCCTAAAGTGACTATTTATGTATACAGTATTATTACAAACACCTACCTATACATTTATTCCAAAAATGTAAAACTCATGTCAAAAAAGTATTAGCTCCATCAATTTTACTACCAGCAAACCTTTTGCCATATATTGTGGTAAATACAAGGAGTAGTACAATTCCCTAATTCTCAATGGAAGATTCTTTTTCCTTTTTTTTTGTTTTTGAGACAGGGTCTCTCATGTAGTTCAGACCAGCCTTGAATTCACTATATAGCCCAGGCTGGCTTTAAATTCACAGTGATCCCCTGACTCAGTCTCCCAAGTGCTGGGATTACAGGTATGAGCCTCCAAACTTGGCATGAAAAGTTTTTATAATTAAATCTGTATGCCAAACACTTTTCATTCAAAAGATATTTACTTAACAGTAAGGTAAATATTTCTTATTATGTAAATTGGCATTCATTTTACAATGTACACTCCTCTCCCCAAGCTGAAGACTGAATCTAGGGCCTTTACTCTGAGCTATATCCCAAGCCCTTTATTTTTGAGACAAGGTCCCACTAAGTTGCTACTTTGCCCAGCCTGGTCTTGAATTTGAGATCCTCCTGCCTCAACCTCCCAGAATGCTGGAATTACAGGTGTGCACCACCACATCCAGCTATGTAAATATTCTTTCTGTTAAACAAGTTTTGAAATTGCCTAGGGAAAAGAAAATGGAGACAGAGAAAGTCAGAGAAAAAAGAATTAATGTTGTAAAATAGTACTTTTAGCTATATAACAGTGGATATTTTTCATAATAATGGAAACCAATATTCTTTCAATGCCAATACTGTAACCCTTTTGTTGGTTAACACTGATGACATCTATATTTTAACATATATAGTAGTCTTGTTTTTGCCCCAACATCATGCGCTGCAAAAAAATCTTTGGTCACATCGAGTCTTCTGAACACTAACATGGAAAAAATTCAGAGATAAAAGGATTTATTAAAGGATGTCAGCAAAATCCAGGATGTGAAATACTGTACAACATAAAGTTTCATCTTGAAAAATGATTAGGAAAAAATTTAAAAGGGTGAGGAAAACTATAGACTAAAACTGCACATATCAATAAACAAATGAAAAAATATTTGAGACACAAAACTGGACTTTGGTAAAGGAATCAACAATTTTTAAGATATGACAAAAGTATAAGACGAGACCCCATTTTTTAGAGATACATATTGAAAATACTTATGAATTATGCTTTTGATGAGAAGTATGTCATATAAAATAGTATGGGAAACAAAATGAGTATTAGGAATAAGCCTTGTGCTTAAAACTTTTATAGTTAGATGATGAATATATACTAGTCTCCTCTGCTCATGTCCAAATTCTTCCAAAATAAAGACTTGTTCAATCAGTATATGGTTAAAATCAAGTCAGAGATGATATTTGTATCAATTTCTAATTTAGTAACATTTTAAAAAATCATTTAAAAACAGAAAAATACAAGTCCATTTCATAAAACATGAACATTGTTTTCAGAAACCAATTTTAATTTACTACCTGTAGGAGTAAGAAAAACAGTAGTTTAAAAATGACAAATTCAGAAAGGTTAGAAAATATAGTGCCATATAAATCAAACTTTAAAAACTTGCAAATACAAATCACCCACCTGACAACACAAAATCACTTCAGTTAACTATTAGTTTACTTACATTTTCCATATAGTTTGGTTTAAAGCCTTCTTGCTGTCGTCTCAATTCCTCTTGTTCTCTGTGTCTGATCATCTCTTCCTCACGACGACGATGTTCTTCTTCATGTCTGAAAATGTTATTTAAAAAAAAATGTCAGTAGTATCACATGCGAGCTATAATCAGATACTGTATTTTATGTAAATCAAAATCTATATGAATTTCAATAGAATAAATCTGTGAATGACCATGGCACCCTAGATTTACCTTCCATTTTGCTTTAAGCCTCTAACATATAAATAATTAGGATAAACCAAAAAAAAAAAAAAAAAAGAATATAAGCAGGAGAGTCATGTGCTTACATTTAAAAAATTAAGATTCCAAAAAGCTCTCACACATTAAAAAGAAACAGCTGCGGGCTGAGAATGTAGAGCTCAGTGGCACTGCACCTGGCTGGCAAGCTCAAGATCCTAAGTGTGATCCCAGGTTGGGGGGGGCATGGGGACAACAGTGGGGATTTATCAGTGGCCCAGCAGTTTTTAAAGGTACTCAAAACCTACCCAGAAATAAGCCTCCTTAAAGAACCACACAGTGGCTGGGGATGGTGGCACTCACCTGTAACCCCAGCACTTGGGAGGCTGAGGGAGGAGGATCACCATGAATTCAGGGCCAGCCTGAACTACACATAGTGGGACAACAACAACAACAACAACAACAACAACAAAACAAAAACAAAACAACACAAACAAAAAAGAACCATGTGGTCTAGTCAGAATTCTACTGTGTGCAGAAAGAAGCCTTACAAGTCCCTTTCCCTCCTATTTTCATCAACCTACTAAGGACATCACCTGGCGTTGTCACCCCACTTGTTTTGGTAAATCATATTTACCAAAAATATTTCCTGTCTTATCCTTTTCCAGAAAAAGTTAGCCAGATTCTATCCTTTTTTTAAAAATTTTTTGGTGATGAGGACCAAACCCAAGGCCTCATGCTTGCTAGACAAGCATTTTACTACTGAGCTAGAAGATACTCAGCCCCTGCCAGCTTACATCTTAAAGCAAGTAAATCTTTAAGCAAAAATCATTTTATGTGTGTGCAGGGTTACTATTATGGTAAAGTAATAGTATGATCAAGAGAGATACCTATATAACAATATTGAATAGACACACAAAATACTGTGGTTAAATCAATGGAAATTCAACTTTATCTGCCTTATACACATACATAAACTGTAACAGCAGAGATTATATAAAGCCGATATCCCTTCTGGAGGTCTCATGCTCAGATTACACTTAAAAACACCTTTCTACATTCAGAACTGAGAGTATAATTCTCAATTTTCATGACAATGTGTTCTTTGTTGTGTAACACTACTGTTCAACACAAGTCTTCTAACTAATAGGGTTATTTCTTATACTGACAGAAGAAAATATAAAATATTCCTGGATTTCAAGTAAACTAGACTATTATATAACTCTTCAAAGTATAACTAATACTAATTTTTAAAAATATTCCTGCAAATGAGTTATTGAATTTCTTATGAATTAATACACACATACATTTTACTGTTAACAAAATAGTCAGCCAAATGTGGTGGCCAACACCTATAATTCCAGCACATGGGAGGCTGAGGCAGGAGGACTGCTGCAAGTCCAAGGCTAGCTTGGGCTACACAGTGAGTTCAAGAACAGCCTAAACTACACAGAGATACTGTCTCAAAATAATAAAATAAAATATTCCAAAATCAAATGTGTTTTGAAATTCAGAGTTTTTTCTGATTTGGAAACAACAACAACAAAAAATCAATATATTAGCACTTATATCCCCAGTGCTACATACATTAGCATTCCATAATTAACTACATAAATATTTCTAAAATAATTTGAAAAAAAGGAAAAGATTTTACATAATCACAATATAAAGTAAGCTTCACCATTAAATTCACTTTTATCAGATCCTGATACATTAAAATACATTAAAAATTTAATGATATATTTTAAAAAATCCTTTTGGTTTCAAATCTTTTGTCTTCAAATTTGCAGACAAAATATGAACTTGTTGAGGTCCAATGTATAACACATAATTTTAAATGAGCAAACTCACTTCCAGTAAAATAAACAGAAATATCTGTACAAGGGTAAAAGGATATATACACACACAAGTGCAAGGATGTATATACACAGATATGTATGGTGCCACTATTAATAAACACAGAAGGCTGATGATACATTAGTTTAAAAGGAACACATCTGTTACAAAGAGATAGATCTGCATCTACTGTCATGAAGGAATGTCTACATTACAGTTGCCAGAAAAAAAGGCCAAAAAAAAAAAACCCTACAGAAAAACAGGGTCCTATTACTGCTTTTAAAAGTCATCTATGTTGGGCACAGTGGCATAACAGTAGTCCTAGTTACTGTGAGGCAGGAGGGTCACTCATCCCAACAAAGTTTGCTACCAACCTGGGTAACATAAAAAGACCTCCTCTCAAAGAAAAAACAAACAAACAAAAAACACATACACACAAATTTAAATAAGCAAAAAAATGTGTAAGAACATACAACAGGATATGAAAGTTTATATGCCACTGAGAACAATTTGAGAAACAAGACCATTGCCCTTATCTTTTTCATAACTCCTGAAGACATTCCTAAAATAACACTACATTGACAATTCCACAATTTAAACTTACAAAGAGAATACAGAAAAATTCCTTAATATGACACATTCTTCAATTCAATTTTATAATGTTTTAGTATTATTTTTTAAGAGTGGAGAGGATCAAGACACTAAATTATAAATCAGGCTAGGTGGCACATGCCTGTAATCCCAGCACTCCGGAGGCTGAGGCAAGAGGATTGCTGAAAATTCAAGGCCAGCCTGGGCTACATAGTGAGTTCAGAGACAGCCTGAACTACAAAGTGAGACTTTGAGCTTGTAGAGCAGGAGGCAGAACCACTGAGCCAAATTTCCGGCCCTCAAAGATACAGATTTGAGATTGGGCATGACAGGAAGATATGCCTGTAATCCCAGCACTCTGGGAGGGTGAGACAGGAAGGATCAAAAACGCCAGCCAGGGGTCAGGGATTTAGCTCAGTTGTTCTGCTGCCTTCCTCCCAAGTGCAAGGTCCCAAGTTTGGTCCCCTGTACCAAACAAAGAAACAAACTCAAGACAGGCCTGGGCAATTTAATGACTCTCACTCAAAATGAAATGAGCTCCCAATGTAGCTCACTGTAAAAGGCCCTGGGTTCCATCTCAATTATATATTAAAAAAAAAAAGGTTTGATCATTATTTTTAAAAATGTTAAGACAATTTTTTCTTCCTTTTTACATGTTGTAAAACTAAATTATAAGAATGTGTCACATTTAAGAGTCTTACAGTTCATTTCATTAGTAATCCCCCAGTAAGTGAATTTACCACTGCTTTTGCTTTATTTAGCCAAAAATAAAGGTTACCCAACAAATTACCACCTCGTTGTTGAGATATTTTTCCGTTTTGTTTAGAAAAAGTCTCACTATGCAGTCAGGCTGGTCATGAGTGCAGGGATTGTCCAGATATACAATTTTCAATGGAATCTGATGCCTTTGTTTATTAGGATTACAAATTTTAAAAAAAGGCACAAAGAATATTTATCATATCAAGCAACCAATATTCCAGTCTACTGACTATATTAGACTACAGTGGTACTTCAGTTCATAAACTTAATTCTTTCAATGATTTTGATTGCAACCAAATTATAAGCAGTGTTTGTATTACAAATAACCATAAGCAATCCATACTATTCCTAAGCATCTCTTTTTAATGATCTGATCATTCTATCCAACGTCTGTTTCACTTATACGGCCAGAATGTGTGTCTTTTTTTTTTGTTCCTCACATTAGTCACATCTAAGGTATTGTCATCTCCTCCTCCCTTTATAGGGTTTGGAAAAGTAGTAAAAATGTCTTATACATAGCCCATCCATCTCCCATCAATATTAACACATACTATGTTATAACATATAATTAAGAAAACCAGTAATAAACACTGGTAAGGTATTATTAGTGACACTTTTTTTTCAGTACCGGGATCGAACTCAGAACTTTGCGCTTGCAAGGCAGGCAGTGGAACCACTGAGCTAAATCCCCAGACCATCTGGAAAGTTATTATAACTACAGACCTTATTCAAATTTTAATTTCTCCACTAATGTTTTTCTGGTTCAGGACCTTATCAGAACTCCACTTACATGTAACTGTCTCTTATGCTCCCCCAGCCTGTAATGGTTCAGTCTCTCTCATAGTTTTTAAAAAGTATTTAAAGAAAACAGTATTTTGTAGAATGTTATTCAATTTGGGTTTTTCTGGTGCTTTCTCTTACTACTTGAAAGGAATTCTGTAGAAATGGTCCCAAACACTCCTCACTGAATAGTATTCAAGGGGGACCTGCACACCAATTTTTTTTTGTTTTGTTTTTTTGCGACAGGGTCTCATTATGTAGTTGAGACTAACCTGGAACTCACTATGTAGCTCAGGCTGTTCTCGAACTCACAGCGACCCTCCTGCCTCAGCCTCCCAAGTGCTGGGATTACAGGCATGCACCACCACACCTGGCGACACACCAATTTTTTATTATGGGTAATATGAAATTTAATACTTTGCCATAATGTTTGATAGTTTTCTCCACTTTGATTTTTTCGGGGGGGGGGTGCAGTACCAGGAATTGAACCTAGGACCATTATACTGAGTTACTGAGTTACTGAGCTACTGAGCTACAGAGTTACAATCCTTTAAAAAAAAACTTTTTTAAATTTTAGCCAGGTATTTGTGGCTGAGAGGCTCTGTATATGTTCCAAAAGTAATGTCTGAGGAGATTTAACTGACCCACAGGTCTTACTTTAACTTGGTCTGAAACACCCCGCAGAAAAGTATAAGCGGAAGAAGTTTGAAAACAATATCACAGTAGTAAAGCTAGATATAAAGAGTCTGCAATCACTGACCCCCTTCTGGCCCTTTCTAGCTACGTAGGTATCTGACCACTGTTATGGTTCAGGAAAGCTAAAAAAACTATGGTGAAAGCTATCAAAGTTCAACAAGAGCCATTAAATTCCTTAACTAAAATTGTCCTTCAAACCCATCAACTCTCCGTCTT